CTGTGCTTCAGGTGGTATTTCTGGACGAAGTGCAGGTGGTGGTGGTGGTCGATTCAAGAGCTTCTTGAAGTGATCAACCCATCGTTTCCTTTGTTTTTCTCCTTTGGTAATTAAATTTCCTTCTTCATCTTTTATTGGTTCCACGTGTGTTGATCTCTTCCCAGATAGTAACCTGGTTATTTGATACAATGTTGTCAGGTCTGTGTCTCTACTACCTGCAGCCTGTTCTGCTTCACTTACCAGTGTGTTGTGGAAGTGTCTTTTGTCTTTGCGTGCACTCTTCTTCACTTCTTTGTCCGGTGTTTTGTTTTATACATTGTACTCAGATCCTCTTCTCGTTGTGCATGCTTGCACTGGTTTATCTTCTGCTTCACCATCCTCCTCTCCTCTACCAGCTTCCATGTGTCCATCGAGATCCATTCCTTGTCTTCTTTCTTCTTCCTTCCTAATACGGCTGTGCAGGTTTCTTTCAACATCTCTTTCAAAGAGTTCCAGTGTTCTTCCACACAAGTTTCTTCAGGGATGTTGCTCGATATCTCCCATTTTGTCTTGATGGCTGGCTGCCTTGAAGATTTCCTTTGTAGTTTCATCCTTCAGTTTCCGAGTGTTGTACTTGAACTGTGGTCGTCTATCACCAGCTTCCTTGAAGGCTTTTAACTTGATTTGGAAGGTTCCTTGCACTAGATGGTGAGTGGTGTGAACCTACATCTGCTCCTCTTCTTGACCTTGTGTCAAGTAGGCTGTTTGCGCCTCCACTTTCTTGAGATTGAGATAAAGTCGATTTGATTTTTAGTGTGTCCTGATGTCTGGTAAAATCAAATCCATGTCTCTTTGTGGATATCCTTGTGCTTGAACACACTGCCTGACTCCAATCACCAAATCGTTGAATGCATAGAAGTGTGCAAACAATTCTCCATTCTCATTCATTTTACCGAGTGCTTCTCGACCCATGGTAAGTTCTCTTCCTGTGTTTTCCGCTCCGAGTATGGCATTCATGTGGCCTATTGGAATTGTGATGTCGCCAACTGTGGTGGGGTTATGTCCAGTGTTGATTGAAGTTGTCTGTAGAATCTCTCCTTCTTCTCTTCATCTGCATTACTTGTAGATGCGTAACATTGTACGATTGTGACTTTCCTTCCTTTTGAGTTGAATCCTGCTGTTATGATCCTGGAGGGGACTGATTCCCGCTGCATGAGAGTGAGCCTTCGACGCTCTTGGGAGGGGACATCATGATAGGTACTCTAAAACTCAGTGTGCTTGTGGTTGTCGTCTGGGCGACAATATCGGAGTTAGATTATTGATTCTCCAGTTGACAGTTTGGAGAGACCACTCCCATTCCATGTGCTTTCGCAAATTCCTAACACTTCAATGTGATACCTTCTCATCTCGTTTGCAATCTGGGCTGCCTTGCTGGGTTCAAACATTGTGCGGACATTCCATGTCCCCACGTTTACTTTCGCTTCCATCAAGAGAAGACACATCGGCCAATTGGCTTCCCGAAGGCTTTCACCAACTGGCGTCATTTCGTCTTTCCGATTCCAGCGAGGAATAATTTTGTTTTCATTTTTTATATTTTGTTTGTGCTTTGAAGTTTGTTCAGTGGTTAGATTTATTTTCCGGGGTGGGGTTGCTAGCCGTATGCCTAACCTTCCTTGTTTACCCGGGCTTAGGACCGGCTAGTAACTAGTGAACTAGTTAACCAGGCGAGGTTAATTCCATATTAGATTGTTTTATTTGATATATATCGCCCAGTGAGATAGTATTATCTACTTGATGATGAAGTTTCGTTCATGAATTATTCCTCATATATAAATCAATGTAATCACACTACTTTCGACATCTGATTTTTATAAACCTGTCACTTCATATTCTTTGTTTTTTACTGGTACACTGAATGAAGCCATTTCTGGGTGAATATAAATGGTCTAATTTAATGCCTAAAGCTAATAATCCTATCAGGATTTACGGAACTATGAAGGCTCATGGACCAGGTTATTCTATTAGATCCGTACTTCAGAAATACCCCCAACATGTGAACTGTCAAAGTAATTAGTATCAATATTATGTCCTACTAGAAACCTTTCAACTTCTTGACTAGTCAGTTCTTACCAATTACAATTAAGACTCAATGACCTTTATATAGAAGAGGATGAAAAAAATGGTTATTTTCGAAGTAACTAGTCTCTATACTAAAATACCAATCAATATGGCACTCTAGGCAGTCAGAAAGCAACTAAATATTGACTCAAACTTATTTACAGAACTAAGAAATCAGTTGTCGAAATTATATAAGGTGTACAGTTGTGCCTGACCTCCACAGTCTTCAAGTTTCAGGAGAAAATATACAGATAAACACAAGGAGTATCAAAGGGATAACCATTATCCCCAACCGTAGCAGATATATTTATGGATAGTTGGAAAGACATGGCTTTACAAATGTTTAGTCCTGAACCAAAACTATGGTGACGATATGTGGATGACACATTTACTGTGTTGAAATTGGAACATATCGAGAATTTACTCACACATATAAACTCTGTAGTAGACATAATCCAATTCACTTACGAGCAGGTAGAAAATGAACAAAGAGAATTACGTATGTTGAATTGCGGAATAAAACGAACGATAGATAGAGGTTTGCATATTATCATGTACAAGAATCCGACACAGTGTGTAACAGGTATCTAAACTTCAGGTCATCACATCCACTATCATTTAAGGCAGGTTTAGTCAAATGTCTAAATGACAGAGCTAAAACTAGTCCCCGTAAGGGATTGAAACACATTGACGAGATTTGTACCGTATAAGGAAGGTACACCAGAAGCTTTACTTAGGGTTCTCAACAAGGCCGGAATTAGGGTGACATCTAAACCCATAAACTCACTAAGAAATAAGCTTTGTCGGGTTGCTTTAGGATCTGATAGAACCAATTCAGCAAAATACTCTAATCTATCAAATTCCATGCAGTAACTTTAAGGTCAAGTACATAGGTCAAACTAGCCGGTCAGGGTCAGTTAGATTGTCGAAACATGGGAATTCAGCTAAATATTAAATAACAGGTCTCAATAGGATGAATATTCTTTTTTAAAAACACTGGACTATTGCAATGCATGCAGCAACATACACAAGCATACAATAGAGTAGGACAAAACCGCTGTACTTAAGTCCAATAAAGCTAGGTGGAGAGAGAGACTGCTTACTGAATCTTTGTTTACCTAATCAACATCTAATACATGCAACAATAGGAATGACTTAGCACCTGTTCCTGGTATATGGAGAATCTTACTACGCATATCACAAAGGGGAAGATGAAATTAGGACTATGTAAAGGATATTTCAAAGTTGTGTAGTGATCCTGATGTGACTATGGACAGTAAATTATGTCCGAAACGTAATCCAGTAAACAATACTGTTCCTTCACTTTGTGGTATATCTAACAAATGTATGAAAATGGGATTTCAGTGGTTTTATTCCATCCCTATTGTGTGATTGTATGTGTTAATGCATACGTTGTAATGGCCATGTGGTTTTTGTGGATCACTGATCTTATGGGGGGTCTGTTATTGTGGATTTGACTAAATTCCTATGTTCTGCTAATCTAACTGACCCTGGCTGGCTACTTTGACATAGCATATCTACCTGATCACGCAGTCATAAAATGGAATTAGATAGATAGATAGACAGATAGAACCAATTGAGCAAAATAATCTAATCTATCAAATTCCATGTAATGACTACGAGGTCAGGTACATAGGTCAAACTGGCCAGTCGACGTCAGTTAGATTAGTGGAGCATAGGATTTCATCGAAATCTACAAATAGGATCAATAGCAGAGAAAACACCTTGCTTATTGCAATGCATACATTAACACACACAATCACATAATAAGGGTTGGATAAAACCACTGTACTTAAGTCTAATATGGTTGGGTGGAGAGAGAGAGAGAGACTGCTTACTGAATCTTTGTTCATCGAATCAACACCCCACCCAACACATGTAGTAGGAATGATGCAACGCTTAAACTAGAGATATGGAAAATTTTACTACCAATATAAAGAAAAAAATATCAAGTGACAGGTTTATAAAAATTGTTTGTTGAAAATGATGTGATCATCTTGACATGATTATGAGCAATGATAATTTATGCTCGTAACTTCATTATCAAGTAGATAATCCTGTATCACTGTGCGATATATATGTCAGACAAACCAATGTGATATACAGTTATATCTTCCAGAAATACCTTGAAATACTTGGCGTATAAAATCCTAGTGAGAATAAATTTTATCCTGTCTGAACACCTAAAATTCAATTCACATTCGGTTATAATCATATTGAAACATGAGTTTTTTTAAAAATGTTTATCTAACAAAGTGTTTTTTTTTATCAAAAAATATTCCTACAGACTGCACTAACTAATCCATTTGATCTTTATAAAAATGGATAGTTTCTATGACGATACAAATGGAGATCAATTTCTCATGGAGTTGGATCTAAGCGATCTCAAATCAATGATAAATAATACTCAACAACTTATGCTATCCAATGATGTATTAATCACTGATAATCAGAGACTATCAGATACACCATTATCAATACCATCTGATCATTTTTCTGATTTCCCTTATCCTCAACCGTATAAACAACAATTAGAATTAATGCAAACAGTGTATAGAACACTTGAAACAAATTGTTGTGGTATATTTGAAAGTCCAACTGGTACTGGTAAATCACTTAGTCTGTTAACAGCATCACTTCGTTGGCTTGTAGATTATAATGAGAAACAGATGAAACAATTACATAATCTTCAGTGTCAAATGAAGTCAGTCAACAATTCGAATACTACTACTACTACTACTACTACTACTACTAATAGTAATAATAATAATAATAATAATGAGAATAAAGAAAATAGTGGTGTTGACTATGATTGGATAAGAGAATTTGAAGTAAATCGTTTATTAAAACGCCAAATTGAACCACAAATTGAAGATCTTTTAATGTATCAGTCTAGTTTACAATTGATTGAGAAAATTAAAATGTCTAAAACCTTCTATTCATCTCCTCTATCATCTTTAAAACCTTTTTACTCTTCAACTCAGACTAGAATTGATGATCATAATGAAGTTGTTGATATTGAAAAAGTGGAAGAGATTATAAAGGCTACACATGAAAGTAACAATGATGATGATGATTTATTCTTGTGTAAACCTGATGAAGAAGAACTTCAATTATTTAAAACTTTTAATGAATATGACATCAGTGAAATTGATATTGAAGGTAACTACAAAAATAAACAGCCAACAGATAGTGGATTATTACAGATTATCTACTGTAGTCGAACACATTCACAACTTAATCAAATTGCTAAAGAATTTAATAAATGTAAAACATTATCTAATAAAGTTACAATGATTCAATTATCATCAAGGCATTTATTATGTATAAATCAACAAATTTATCAATTGAAACATTCAGATTTAATTAATATTGGTTGCCTTGAATTGAATCGTGATCAAGGTCAAAGTAAAAAGTTTAAATGTCCAATGCGTAATATATCAATTGTCAATAATTTAACTAATCATTTATTAATTGGTAATTCAGCTTTAGATATAACTAATATGATACGAGATAAACACATGAATAATACTGATAATACAATGAAGAAGGCTAAGTTGAATGAATCCAATATAAGTGAAACAGAAGATAATATTGCCTTACTTTCACATATCGGTTGTCCATATTATGCTAATCGTAAAGGTATACCATTAGCTCAATTAATTTTAATACCATATTCATTATTATTACAGCCAATAAGTCGTTTAACATCTGGTTTAAAATTGAAAAATTCAATTATTATTATTGATGAAGCACATAATCTCTTAGAAGCAATGGCATCTTCAATGTCAGTTAATTTATTGTTAATGAATGATTTAAACAAATTAGAAGAATTGTTCAATAATTATTTAACATATTATCGTTCACGTCTTTCAACACGCTTAGCTTTAAGATTACGTCAGATGAAGTATTTTATACAAAAATTAAAAGTGTACTTAGATAAAATACTTGAAAATATTCAATTATCAATATCTTCTAGAGTATTTACGTCTACATCTTCTAATATTCTTATTAAAACAGTGAATAAATTATTCTCTGAAACAAATTTAGATAATGTAAATATCAGTGAATTAATTGAATGCTTAGAATATCAACATTTCATTATGAAGTTAATCGGTTTTTCGAAATGGATGAAATTGAATTCAAGTGAAACTATTTCAACTTTAAAATCTACTCAGTTATCATCATCATCATCATCATCACAATTGTCTAGTCTATTAGCTAGTATGAAACGAAAATGTGCTGAGAATAAAAACGAAATAGATGATGTAAATCAGGTAAGTGAGATAATAGTTCAATTTAGTATTGATCACTGAAACTGTAATCAACTGAAGAACCATTATTAACTTGAAAGCAATGAACAGATGTTTTATCCTAGTATGGAACTCCTCAGTAGTATGCACTCACTACCCTTCCAGTGAGTTAACTCAGTACCTTGAGATCTCGTAGTGAACGCGTCAATCATCCAGCTAGTGTCAGAGTTCAGTGGTCCAAACTTTCCTACTTTTCTTAATTCGTTATCTAGTCCAACTATCCACCAAGGTCTTCAATTGGCATCCGCTTCACTTCTGACTAGTTGACCTCATAGGTTTTAGTTTCTCATTATAACTTAAGGATATCCATCTCGTAGCATTTCAGTAATAATTACTAGACATCAATGTATGCAGTGATGCGTACTGTTGAGAAGTCCCTTACTGGGACGAAACGGCTGTCTAATGCTCCTCAGTTTTCAATGGTTCTTCAACTGATTTCAGTCCGTGATGAATACTACCGTATTATAACCAAAGCCTCCATACACATCAAAATAAATAAGGTAGTATCATCATCATTGTGGAATCGCTTTGTTCGAATTGAGAATCGGAAGAGTAGCTGGATATCCTCCTTTATTACTTGCTACGAAGTATCACAAGATTTGATCTTGTTCGTCTTTAGGGCGGATAAAAGTCCTGAATTCATTTTATCGGCGAAATTATTTGGCTGGCTGCTAAACTTCAATATTAATCATGACCTGCAGACTGTTCACTTTGTTTTCAATGTCAGATGATAAATCATCGTCATCAACACAGGACCAGGCATTACTACGTAACGGTCCGAGTTGCCCGCCACACCTCATATCAGTACACCAAGTAACAAGCCAGTGAGGTACAAGATGAAGTTAAGAAAATTCAGTCAAAAGAAATACAAAGTACGAGAAGAAAGAAAGGGTGAATGAGAAAGTGGTGAGATTTTGTGTGGTGTCGTTAAGATGATAATAATGTGTGTGGGGATACATCTGCGCCACTCACATCGGTTCTCAGCCATGCCATCACCTAGAGTCTCCAACTACTGTTGGTTTTACTTGTCCCGTGGACCCCAACCACCTAGTCTGCATCGCCCTACATGGCTCAAACCAACAGTCAAAGACTTCGTGCATTCGTGCCATGTTTTAGTCTGGCCAACTCGGGCCTTTTTTCAGGCTAGACCTACTTCAGCCAACATTGTGTGACGAGGCAGATGGCGACAGATGATGTGTTTTCTCTTAAAAATTAATTTATAGGAAATGTAATCAAGATTAGATCGAATAATATTACAAATATTGGGCATCGACTAAGAATTTAGTATTCGATGTAGGTTTTATTTGTTAGATTCACAGACTGGGCAAAATCTATAGTGATTAAAGTCGACATCTGACGCCATCGGCCCAACAATCCAGAGACTTTTGGTTCGAGTCCTGTCGCTAAGCAGATTTCCATTTCACCTTCAAACATAACCTAATATCAAAAAAATTTATCTTGGCAACGTTTACACTTAACAAGTATCAAAACGTGAGTTTTAGAAAACTAAGAAAGTAAACAGAGTAGTATCGATGTTTTTGTTCATAGTAATAAAAGTATTCATGATTCTCGACTTTAATTTTATAATGGCTTACATGATTCAGTAACCTAGTAGATTACGCTTTAGTGCTTGAAACGATTGGCACTGGCTTCAAGTCTCTCTTCAGACCTTTCCTGGTCTTTCCATTACTTACTAATTTCTGAAGGAATCTTCCACCTAACTTCCTATATTAGGAAGCTGAAAGTATCTGACATAACTCAGCCTCTCCTCTTGTGTTTTTTATGAACTCTTGTATGTTGCCTTTTCTCCTCTCTTGTTCTTTTTTATTCTTTCTTGGGTTGCTGAAAAAAGACTATGCTTTACTGAATAGAACTTTGAAGATTGTCGACGGAACTAGCGGTGTACCTCTAAACCTCTTAATTGAAACTGTTGTGAAGAAACATGTTAACTCATGTAAATATCTAGCAGAAATTATTTTATCAGGTGACTAGCGTCCTCTTCACTCAAAGATCTCAGCGTGTCGGTTATCTGGTAGGACACGTAGAACATATGTAAGACTTTATAACGTGTTTACCTCGTCTTCTGTGTGATGAAGAAAGTATTAGAAAGGAACTAACTAATCAACTTCTGCTTTTGAAAGCAAACTAACTGAAGATGAGCATGTTACTATTGTACGTGTTATGAATCTAATTGCCAATGTGATTGTCTATCTAAACTGACTGTGCATTTTGAAGAAAGTTGTAGATAAAGTGAATATTCCTATCTTTTCTTTTATGGGATTTCCACTTATTTCATTTCGCTGTGTATTCATGTACACTTCTTCTGTCCAGCTGATACTATATGACACGCTGAAAATTCTCAGCTGATACTATATGACACGCTGAAAATTCTCAAATATAACCAAACGCCCCTTCTGGATTCCACTAATCAAATTATACCAAAATGAAACTTTAAGCAATATCGAGGCATTCGTTTAAATAAGCCAACATCTCAGCAGAGACCGATCAAATTTAGTCCTGTATCATAAAAAACAGGAAATTATAGGCTCTATAAGTAATGTGAACTTTATTATTTTAGTCAGATGGTATGCGTTAGTTTATGTACAGTACCTGATGGATTGAATAATTGAAATTTGTTATTCCTTTCTGCTAGACAAAATTTTTAAATCTTTGTGTTTCTAATGACCGACTTAAGGAATGTATTATTACCTGATCTTGATGTTGCGATCTCTGTTATTGATCTTAGCTTCAATTATTGCCTTCCGATTTTAATGTGAGTATTTGAACTTACTGCCACTTACGTTACACCAACTAGGTAGGGGACTCGGCCGATGAGATTGTGAACCTTCAGCGATTGAGATGGCTTGAGCATTTACCCCGCATCCCAAACCACTGCCTACCACAATATCCAATGCTATGAGAAACTGTATTAGGTTAGAAGAAGACTCAGGATGGCTGAAACAGGACATAGCGTCAGTCCATGAAGTATCTGACTGTTGCTCTGAGGCGTCTAGAGAGGTGTAAACTACTGCTTGGGTGGAGTCACTGAGAAGATAAGAATCAGAGGTCACAAACTCCAGGTGACATGACTCAGAATCTTTGGGAATGGCACAGATGTATTCACTTTTTGACGTCTTCTAAAACTTGAGTGTGGAGAATATTTGTAGCTCAGGTCTTGGTTGTATTGTGTTCTCTGAACTGGGTTGTTTAATCGTGGAGCTTTCATCGTCCTTCTAGGCAGCAACATCATCAGCACTAACTTCAGTATGAAGTGTCTTGACTAACCTTCATCTTTAAATATTCCCCCCCCCGCTCCATACACTTTTTTATACTTCGATACGCTAGTGTATAGAGTTTAACAATTTAAGACGATATGTAATTATATCAGGTTGGATTTATTTAACTATTGTCTCTTTGTTTATTTTTCTTTTTGTTTCCTTAAGGTTCGTGTTTCAAATAAACGCTATAAATTAGAAAATGAAAAATCTGAAGGAATTGGTTCTAGTTTATTTAAATTTCATAGTTTTCTTCAAGCTTTAGCATCTTGCGAAGAAGATGCACGTATAGTTATTGAGCCAGTTAAAAACTCGACGAAATTGGATAATTCATCAGCTGCTCAGTCTACTTTATTATCTTCACCAGAAAAGGATATTCAGGATTTATGCTTACGCGTAATATTTTTAAATCCTGGTAGATATTTAAAAGGTGAGTTGAAATTATTATATCTGACTTCAACTTTATCCGTAATTATACGTGGTTAAACTAAACTTTGGTGATGGCCAATCATGTTCGAGTATGAAGTGACCAATCAGGATGAAGAATTCGAAGGACAATGTAATGAAACCATGTCATGAGACCATACCATTTCTTTTGTAAGATCTCATGATCTTGTCCAATGTTTTAAAAAATTTCAAAGATGACTCCACATATTTTCAATATTGTTTGTGTACACTCCAGTTGTCAGATCAACGAAGTACTTTTTGTAAACTGTAACTTGATGAGGGTTAACCTATCTTGGATAACGGTATGCAAGACATCCAAGCATCTGTGTATGTTGTAGTACTCAGTTACACCGATTTTTCAATAACTGGTAGGATAGATTCTTCTGATCAATCCCTTATCTACTGATAATGTCCCTTCCTCGTATTTTGATCGTAGATACCAAGAATTTGTGATTTTTCAAAGCATCCGTTTGTAGTTTACCCACTCCTTTTTAATTCTCTTTCCTTGATTTTAGTTACATTTGGTACGTTAGGTACACAGTTCGCTGTATTAACACATTCAACACTTTGATTCCTCGAAAGCAATCCAACTCTGCAAATAGTCGACAACGCAATTCATAAACATCTCATGCAGCGTCAACAACATAACAACAACGTAAGGGAATGACGTTGATATATATCATCTGAAACCTGATTGATCATTCAAAGGGAATGCGTCAGTAAAGTTTAGTTCTACCCTATACTTTAGAGTTTCTTTTTTCACATTCAATGCTTTTATATTATGTAGATATTAGCAATCCCACTGAGAGCTAGAAAATACATTAAGCAAAAGGTCATACCTACGTGTACCTGTATGAGGATTGTTATACCGTTCAAACGTCAGTAGTTAGGGCGAGTTTCGAAATTGTGACTCAACTGGTTGAAGATTGAGTTTCTACGATTGTCAGTATCTTAAAAACCCCATCCTGATGGTCTACATTTCCCTGTACATTAAGAGATTTTATGAATTAGTGATATATTCTGATATGATTCCCTTTAACGTACTTTTTTTTAACTTAACCCCACTTCATTCTATATTAATCTTCTAGAGAGATATGAGTTTACTGTATTTATCTTAATCTGTCTTCAGTTACTACTTAACTTGGAGTATTTCGTTTACAACTGAGATAAAAAAATAACGCTTCACTCCATGATCATTGTGACTTTTCGCATCCAATGTACACTTCTCTTGTGTCTTCATTCTGTGGTAGATAGTGACTGAATTGTATGAATATACGCCACCTAACATCGGTTGGTGCGATTTTATAACCTTATCATTTGTCTATCATAAATTAAACGTCTTATTCCTAGCCTTCACAATGCTTGTTTACTAAAAGGATTCATTAGATGTTGCGTAACTGTGTTAGTTATTTACAGCAAGTATGATGAACTTTGCAACGACGGTAATTTGCAGTATATCAGTAAGTTTCTAAAACTATGGTATGAATACATTTTCATGTTACTCAACTAGACTATCCATCAAATTATCAAGTTTTTGATGGAACAGGGTTCGATCTCACGACACATTGATTAAAAATAAGGTACCCAGCCTTAACTCCCGATAAAGTTATCCTAATTCAAATGATTTTAACCTTACTTACAAATAGTAATGGTGGATAATAGTCAGCAATGGAATCCGGGATGCTCATTTCGTCCTTTTTGACACTCGTCAGCTGGATATACCTGCTTCCCAGTTAGTGATGTTGTTCCCAATGAGATTCGGACTCTGGAGCGATCGCTTCAAACGCGAGAGCGTTATCCACTACACCACCGAGCCACGATAGCCACTTCTTTTGGAGTGTAGTTTTAGTATAGTTGTTTCTATATCATACCGTCGTTGATTGGACCGAATTGATCGGTCCCTATTGGCATACAGGCTCCTGTACGGATGCCTCGATATTACCTGTGCTCTAGTGATAGTAATGATGGATAGTGGCTAGCAGTGGCTGACGAGTCCCAAATAGGACGAAATGCACATCCTGGACTCCACTGTTATCTACTATTCATGATTACCGTCACTAGAGCACAGGTAATATCGAGGCAAACGTACAGGAGCCTGTATGCCAATAGAGACCGATCAATTCGGTCCAATCAACGACGGTATGATATAGAAACAATTATACTTTTACTTACAAATGTTTTAAAAAACATCTTAAATAAACGATCCTGTATTAGGTAATGAAATAAAATGTTAACTTACTTTCCTCTCAATTACTCTTCTCTAATTGATATTCATCAATGCTTACTATATACATATACTGTTAATAGTGCTGAACATCTACCTGCAGTCTTTGTTTTCGATAATGATTTCAAGTTGATTGAAGAGGACTCAAGTTGGTATTCATCATGAAATGGTATCATTTGGATGAACATTGGGAACTTGGAAGCATTGGATAGGTGGTTCGTTCTAGTATAAGACTCCTAATGATGAGGACAGTTACTCAACAATGACATTGAGTGGCGTTTGCGCTATAACGTGAGCTAACAGAAGTTGGAAATATGGACGATTGGATTCTGACCCAGTGGCTCAATGTTAATGTGCTGTCCATGGAACCTGAAGGTCGCTGGTTAGATCCCTGGTGGAGTCGTGGGTGCGCACTGCTGAGGAGACCTATACTAGGACGAAACAGGTGTCCAGTGCTCCCAGGTTCCCTTTGTTCCTCCAACTGATGTCAGTCTACGATGAATGACAACTTGAAATGATGATAAGAACCAAGAAAGCAGCATGAAAATGTAGACACTCCGATAATCAAAATGGCTCAAAAGCTTGTGAAAATAAAAGTTACGTAATAGTGAAGGACGAGGTAATTCCATTTTAGTCTGTTTGTTAGAAATATCACACAGTGAAACAGTAGCATTTACTGGATAACGTTTCGGACACAATTTGTTGTCCATATTCATATCAGGTAACTCCACAACTTCAAGACAGACTTTATATATTCCTAATTCTCTCTCCTTCTCTGTGATGACAAGGGTAGTAGAATTTTCCATATATCTGGGACAGGTGTAGAATCATTTCGATTGTATGTGTTTGGTGTTGATTCGATAAACAAAGATTCGGTTATCAATCTCCCCCTCGATAAATCAAAATGGGTTGTCAACGGAATCTTTGTTTATCGAATCAACACCAAACACATACAATCGAAATGATTCTACACCTGTCCCAGATATATGGAAAATTCTACTACCCTTGTCATCACAGAGAAGGAGAGAAAACTAGGAATATATGAAGACTGTCTCGAAGTTGTGGAGTTACCTGATATGAATATGGACAACAAATTGTGTCCGAAACGTTATCCAGTAAATGCTACTGTTTCACTGTGTGATATTTCTAATAAACAGACTAAAATGGAATTACAATCGACCACAGTGCCCATGTTTTACTCTTATATTAAGGACGAGGTAAGTGGATAAACAAAGCCTAGACAAATATAATAAGTATACGAAAAGGGGAAGAGAATAAGAAAAGGGGTAGGGAAAACAACAACAACTGAATGATAAAGTTATTCATGAAGTATTCCCCGACCAAAGGAGAGATAAGGGATGTACAAATTTCTTATGGATACAAAGACTAGGATTATTAGCTTGCATTCCCACAGCTTCTGTGTAAAAGACGAGTTTGAATACTTTTCGAAAGATGAGATGGTATGCGATGTATAGTCCTGAAATCTTATCCGCCGAGTGACCACTATCAACGAGGTGAGATAAAACTGAGCTTCTGATGGATTCTACCTGCCCGTTTCCTAGCCATGAAGGTAGATGCTCAGCAACACGTTTGTTAAGTTGTCTAGTAGTACATCCTATGCAGCTTTCTCCACAGCAGCAGCTAAACGTGACACTTTCGACAACTTTCATCTTAGTACATTCTCATTTGATGTGTTGATATGACGTTATGGCAAGTTGAATCGTTAAGCGGTAATGTCAGATCTTATTTTGACACTCAAAGTGTTCAGAGGATGCAGAGTCTTCTGAACACTTTGTGTCTGAATTTAAGAATGTTTGAGATGCGGTTCTCATCACCGAAGTGCAAATTATTGCTCCACAATTGGTCTTCAACGGCGCCCCACCGCGGCTAACAATAGACAATGTAATGATTGAGTGTGTCGACCACTTCACTTTCCTGGGAAATAGGATCAGCCCTGCCCTAGTGGCTCAGTGACCGATGAAATCTCTGCACGGATACAAAAGGCTCTGCCGGCTTTCACCAATTTACGCCACCTATGTCGCCGTCGTGATATCCGATTATCTATTAAGGGTCGCGTGTGCTGCTTAGCAGTCCCTTCTGTTCTATTGTATAACTGGTAAACATGGCGATTGAAGGTGGAATACATGAGAAGACTGGCTTCAGGTGTTTGACCACCATTGCCTTCATAGTATAGGGCGTTTTCTGTGGTGTCACAAGGTGAGTAATGCAGAAGTTAGGTGTAGAGTTTTGGGGAGTAGAGGTAAATCAGTTGACGAGGTTATGAAGCTTTATCAACTGAGATGGTTGAGACACATATTTCGTATGCCTAGTCATCGATTGCCTTGTCACACAATGTTGGTCGAAGTGGGTTCATGCTGGAAAAAGGCCCGAGGTGGCCAGAGTAAAACACAGCACCAATGTATGAAGTGTTTGAGTGTTGGTTTGAGCCAATGTGCGGGGGCGATGCAGACTAGGTGGTTGGGGTGTATGGGACAAGAGGAACTAGTGGTTGGAGACTCTAGGTGGTCGGATGGCTCAGAACTGGTGTCAGTGGTGCAGATGTATCCCCACACACATTATCCTCATCTTGACGACGCTATACCGAATCTCACCATTTTGTCATTCATCCTTTCTTCCTTCTCATACTTTGTATTTCTTTTGACTGAATTTTCTTAACTTCATCTTGCACACCTCACTGGCTTGTTACTTGATGTACTGATATGAGGTGTGGCAGGCAACTCGGACTGTTATGCAGTAAT